ACGTTTTTATGCAGATTTGTATTATTTTTTGTTTTATAAAAAAATCATTTATGTAAGTAGGTCCAGCTAAATCACCCTGGAAAACCTTGGTTTTTATCAAATTAAATTTTCACCTAATAATAACATTTGTAAATATCAAACAATCAAGAACCTTAATGTGGAAAAAATAAGGTTCATGATTCATTAATATTTACTAATGTTAAATATTATTTAATGTTATATAAATGTAAAAGTATAGTCAATCTGAAAACGTCTAATTAGTAAGAAAAGCAAAACAAGTGTTTTCAAAAGGAAAAAATCGCCCGCGCTATACGGCGGCGGATTGACAAAAGACTATTTATTAGCGAACTTTTTTTATGCAAGAACGTTTTTGAACTGTTTCAAGCAAAAATAAACCTTATACCATACCACAAGAGCACATGGTATTTCGTAGGTCTATTCGGCCATATCTATCTACACTACTATTATAAAGAGGAAAGATTTGTTTGTTTGAATTGAATAGGCTCCGAAACTACTGGACCGATTTGAAAAATTCTTTCACCATTAGAATCCTACATTATCCCTGATGAACATAGGCTATTTAACTTTTTTTTTAAAGTGAAGGATCCGTATGAAACATCGTTAATGTAACCCAAGGTGTGAAAAAAATACCAAAAAGAATCCTTATATCGCGTACGCTGCGGAAAATATTAATAATAGAGCTATGTAATGTACTTCCGTTCTATAGAGGATATCAATATCTACAAAAAAGTCTGCGATACCATATGTTACAATTATGTCACAATAACTACTTTTTCATGTTAAAATATGAAATAGTAACGCCGGTACAAACTAGGCCATATTATTCGTATCAGTATATACCTGTATCATGCATAACCACCAATTACGTTAACCATGTAATTTTAGTAACATATTTCACTTTTAAATCTTTGTTAATTCAGCAACCGTCAGTCGTGATGTCTCTCTCGAAGGGAGTTTTGGCGGGAAATTGACCGGCGGCGGTTTGCTGCTCCTGTATTATTGTTTAAATAATGGTTTGAAGTGGAATTTGATATGTAAAAGTGGTGCGATTTTGTGTATTAAGTGTCTACGCATGTAGACTATTAGTGGAAACAGTGAAACAAGTGCTCTGATGGTGATGGATTCTCAAGATTAGCTGTTTGTTTGCATAGGCGCCTTTAGATACCATCGCCAACTGTCAGCTGTCTGCTGGATCACGTTGCCGTCAAAATCTCCCAAGAACTGCACAATGTGACGCATCAACATATTGTGAAGCAGTGAACTATGAAGGATAATTATACATTTGGGAAATTATAATAAACCGAATAAAAATACTCAAGATTTGGCCTAAAGGTCCAGATACCAGGCCATAAACTCCAAAAAAAATCTCTCTCGAAGTTCGCATGTCGCGTGATAATATACGCGGGTGAAACCGCGGGGCACAGCTAGTGATAGTAATAAGACAGCAGTTCAACCATATTAAGCAAAGTTAAACAATAAGAGAAACGCATTGTTTTTTTTAACAGGAGACTTGTTTTCCAGAAATTTATTTACAACGTAGTTTGTGAGCAATCGCAATGACTGCTATTATTTGTTACTTATTAGACTATTTTTCCACAACATGATTTAAAACCCACAAAGTAAAGAGAGCACCATGTACACGTTAAAAAAAGGTTGTCAACCCCTAAAAATTTTAAATTTTAAAAATATCCAGAAACGAAGCTGTAGGCAAGAACTACTTGCAAAATAATGAATATTTTGTTCTGGATAAATCTTCCAAAAACGCAATTTGAGCGAGTTATAACGATTTTAAAAAAAGACACCGACTCTCGTGTCATGCCACACACAAAAATAACGCCCATGGGCGGGCAAAACCTTTTTATTCACATGCCGAGCCAAAACCTTAATAAGTATGTCAAATAACATGAAAAAATTAAAAGATTTTGTCTGATAACTCGTTTTATTATGATTGATTCGTTACCAAAACGGCCTGCGGATATCTAAGATTTTAGAAAAGGACAATTCTGACCTGTCATGCCGACCCCGCCCATGGTCGGGCAGTACGCGTATTCAGAATTAACAAACCTTTTGTTAAAATTTTAATCAAAAACTTTAAAATAACGTATATTTATATGTAGTGACAATAAAATATAAACGTTATTGTTCCTAGCACCTTATTATTAAAACCGTAACCATATATACAAGTTGTTACAAAAAAGCGGGTAATCCTTTTAGCGAGTGATTTTATTGCTCAAATACAACAACTTCTATGGGACCTACATCGAAATCTCAAAAAAGTTGGCTTACCTATACTAAACCGCCGATCAGCTGAGACGAGTTTGTGTGAAGTATTTTTTTCTTTGAGATTTCGATATAGGTCCCTTAGAAGTTGTTGTTTTTAAGCAATAGAATCACTTCCTAAGAGCATTACCCACTTTTTGTAACACCTTCTAGATAAGACAACATACTGTCGGTAACTAGGAAGCAAGATAAGAATGCAGATGATAATCTACATAAAAGGAGCCGATCGGTATTCGTCACTTTGAAAACGGACAGTGCCGACACCTTTGTTTTGGTCACCGACCATATACAATTTTTCGATAAGATTTACGATTTAATTTTGGCTAATGACCTATTTCGGATTGTGGTTTAATACAGATAAGATCATAAACTGACGGTAAATGGGAAACAATATAAGAATGCAAATCTGAACAAAAGGATCTGGTCCGTAATAGTCACTTTGAAAACAAAAGAAGTGCCGATACTTTTTATGGACATCAATAATTTTACAACTTGCATGATTTATGATTTCACGTAAGTAGCATGTTATAGAAAAAAAAAAGTCTACGGAAAAAGCTTTCACTCGCATCTGACGTTCGTGGTTTTCACAACTTGAGTTTTGCTTGCTGAGCGTTTTGGAAGTTCGACTTAGTGCATCGAGTTGAGACTATCTCCTCCTAGCTCTAGCTTGCTACATATTTATTTATCTATGAATTCATCTGCCTAATTCCTACCTGTGAACGAATATTTCATTCTCAGGTAGGAATTAATGCAAAAGGAGGTAAGACGTGGGAAAAAACTGAAACATACAAAAAGGTTGACTACGCATGACTTGAAAAAAAAAGCCCTAAAATGTATGCTTTTATATTTCATTTTAGACTTCCTTGTACTAAGCTCATGCTTAAATCTATCTTATACGCAGATTAAGATACATTTACTTCGTCGTAAATTAGACATTAAAAATATCTCACGTCGAAATCTAAGGACTCGTGCCGAAACCGCCGATGGGCGGGCCAAGATACTTTATCGAGATGCCGGGCCCGCCGATGGGCAGGCTGAATAACAGTATAATGCGGCATGGGGGTAATGTTATTTCTTAGGAAGTCAGTGAATGGGTTGTCACTTTATTAATGTATGATGATGTAAGCTGGCTCCATTTGTGTACCAGGATCATTATTTGCTGCCTGGTAAAAATTGTGATCTGATGGCCTAAGACCGAATATAGGCGATGCAGGAAAAGACTAAGATTTTTAGATTGGATCCGGGCCAGTCCGGGACCATTTTTAGCAGATCCACGAGGTTCCAAACGATTTGTAGCATGAGCCTCAGTCAACAATTGTGCAATAAAACAAGTATTAGCTGGGATTGTCCATATTACTGGACTGACCTAATGAGTTGTGCTATATAAAAATTGATAATTACTCATAGTAATATTCTGCAGTATGGCATTATTAATCGATTCCGTAGAAACTAGGAAAACATCCATCGTGTATTTTTTATTATTTCAATTCGAAAATATTGGATTATTTAAACAAATACATGATTACATACTGAAAGTGAAAAAATGATAAAGGTCAAATAATTTTGTGAATAAAGACCTTGATTCATAACTTACAGTAGTTTTTAAAATATTTTATTAACACAATTCATTCAGTAACACCAAAGAATATTAACATTCTCTAACATGAAATCTAAAATAAAATACAGATTACCTATTCATTATCACTTACCAATTTATAATCATTCAAACATTTTGACTATGATGTATACATAATAAAATACTTTGAAATATATTTCACATAGTAAGTCTTAAGAAATTTTATATGATTATTATATTATATAATATAAACAGCTTTGATATTTATATGTTTGTATTTATGTCATGAAGCATGTTTTCTTATAAAAAATGTAAAGGAAAATAAAACACAGAATAAATAAATAGAAACAAAATAATCTGGAATGTACAAATCATGTTTATTAACTGATTCCTGGCAATACATTGTTTACGACTTGCTTCCCAATATGTCAGCAGTCACTTGAGAGATAGCAATATACATTTATTAATAGTACAATAAGTATACAATGCACCCACTATAACACAGAAAGCCAAGTAGCATGTAATACTTAAGCCAGGTTTAACCTTAACATTCTCAGTAGAGATATCGGTACACAGTACCCTGGGGTTCAACGGTTTATAAATTATTTAAGACAACTTGTTTGGACTTAAATTTCTACTCTAACTGTACATTAGTTTCGCCTTATCGCTAAAATAATCTAAAATTGATATCGTCAGATATAATGGATTCGTTTTGGGATAAAAACGCGCAAAACAGATATGTCGGATTGGTGAACATTATCACCAAACAAAAAATAACTCGGCAGTAAATAAATTAACAATAAATTACTCCGTTATCGCTCGGTAGCGTATTTCAATACATGATGGGGATTTAAAAAGCGACATTGTAAATTTGTTATAGAAAAATTATTTATACAGATCGCGTCTCAAGGCATGACGCTACCGCAGCATCAAGGCGGCGCCGTGCCGGAGATATGCGAGAAAATTTAAATAATTATTTTAATCATCAGTTACTATACAGGATGTTTAGTGCCATGAAGCTCTATGCTCCGCTACCGGCGACAACACCATGTGCGCGCATATTATGAGAGGATTTTCTAGGCATGGAGCACCATGGCACAATGGGGGCAGTGTGTGTTCAGATTTACTGTTTCGTGTATAGATAGATAGCGACGATGAGACCATATAGACCCAACACTTCAGCGAAAATGAGGATAAGGATCATTCCGACGAATAGCCTGGGCTGTTGCGCTGTACCGCGGACACCGGCATCACCTACAATGCCTATGGCGAAACCAGCGGCGAGACCAGAGAATCCTACAGCAAGACCCGCACCAAGGTGAATGAAACCTCTGAAAAGGATGAAAACCAATTATAAGACAATTTTATATTGTATACTAATCTTTGACATTAGCTAGTTTCACTTTTACCATTTCCATTATTATTACACAAGTGTCCCCCACACTTACCATAGTTGCCATGCCCGGCAAGTAGGTTGGCAATAGCATTTTTTTTATATGTTATTAGAAAACGCTGCAGCTCATTTCCTAGTTTGTTTCCATGTCGCCTTTACAACACCCACAGGACAATGATATGAGGTAGTTGATATTCTTACACAACCACTACATAGTCAATAAATATAGCTATTTTTATAACTTATTAAACTAATACAGAGGGTCTGTATTTTATGAGGATCAATTTTCTCATATAATATTTTTCATGGTTGTGGCACAAATGGGTCAGTCTGATCGGGGAAGGACCACCATTTCACAGAATACAAGTGTGAAATAGTGGCTTAATGCTTCTGTGTTGTAAACCAGAGACCATTTTATTGGAAATTAGCCATTTCATTTTAGTCCTCATGGGTGACAACATATCTGCATTTTAATTCAGGCTGTGTTTCCACCAGAGACGTGCGAGGTTGGGTAGCGAGGCTGTAGAACAGTTTTAGCATTTCCACCAGAGATGTGCTAGGCTGCTGAGCAGTGCGAGGATGTGTAGTAGAGATGGCTAATATATATTTTTTGTTAAAATAAACAGTTGATGCAGTCTCTGTAGTGTCTTCCTTCTTGATAATATTCTCAATTTAATTCAGTAATGCATCAAAGTTATTCCTAGCACCCAACAAGAATTTTCGAATGTTTCATCATCAGTTGATGATATTTAATATGGTTACATATTCAAAACCTGTGCTGTTTTCTATGTGACAAAAGAGCAGTAATAAATTCTGTATCTTTTGCCACCATTTCTTCATCACAAATTGATAAATATAAAAGTGTTTTTTCCACTGATCCATGTTTTCTGTACACTATACAGCTACCTCTGACAAACACCATCTAGTGACTATTTTTTCGCTCGCATCCACCCCTAGCACACATTTTTCCCTTGTTTTGTATGTACAAATACCTCGCTTCACTGAGCCGTTTCCACTAGAGCTGCACTGAGCAAGGCTAGGCAAATGAAGTGATTCTATTGGTTCTTAACAAACACATCCCTCGTTACACATCCTCGTACATCTCTGGTAGAAATGCAGCCTTAATCAATGATAGATGTAGATGTTATGGGTCACACAGCATCTACTTACCATCAGGAGGACTCTTGCTCCTTTTGTCAACCTTGATTCCATAAATAAAAAAAGCACATTTCTATGCCAAGTAACCTTCAAGCTTCTACTGAGAGAGGAGTCTACAATAAAGAGTGGATAGGTCTATACCTATTATATGGTATGATGGATATTACAAAATTTCATTTTCTAAAATAGGCAACATTATCTCTCACTAAGTAGGTACTACATACTTGTTATATGAGTTAGCAAGTCTCATTTTTTAAATGTTTTTGTTATGTGAACAGTTTTTCAGATCTTGTAAAACCAATAATATCACTGAGGCAAATGTGATATGTGATTGTTGATATGAAATGTTTAGCCCTACGCAAGAGTTGCTTAGCTATTATGGCATTCACTTACAATTTGGTGAAAATATACAGTTGTCTTCTGTGTGCAAGGGACAGAACCTGCTATTCCTTGAATTGCTGGGTCCCAGAATACTCTTAATAAATGAGCTTTTAAGTATGTTATACTGATATATTATAGCTAACCTTATACTTAAAGTTCAATAAATTGGATGATGTCACTGAGTTTTAAATTACTGCTACAGTTCAATTATTCTTTTTATCAGTTTTAGGCTACTCCAAAAAAAGGAGGAAGTCAACAATTCCACTGTACATTTTTTTGTATGTATGCTATACAAAATCTTCCTCAATTGCAGATCTACTTTAACAATTTTTTTTTTTATAAATAGGTTATACTTCAGGGGGGTGATAGAAAATAACTATATGAAGGACATTGAGATTGTGATACTCCTTAGTACACGTTGGACCTTTTGTTGTGACCTTGCCAGTTAACCATGTAGTATTAGGACATTCTTTTTGAAAATCCAACATTAATTAAAATAATAAATATAAGCATCAAAGCACATTTATAACAAAATGTACTAGACCATTAAGACAATTAAATTATAGTTACCTGAAAAGGGTGTAGGTGGGTGGGCTCTCAAGGGAACCGGCGATAAGTACAGCCACGACTAGCCCGTAAATGGCGATAATACCCGCCATGACGACAGGAATGATGGATTTCATGATCAGTTCAGGCCGCATCACCGACATGGCTGCGATACCTGTACCCGACTTGGCGGTACCATAGGCAGCTCCCAGTGCTGAAAGCATATGAAAAACATTAAGAGTTGCATAGCAATAATAAATCTCAAAAAACAAATTTCAGGATGAATCATAATATTTTACAACTCATATTTACACAGAGTTTGATGATATCTTGTCTTTTTTATTTTAAATTACATATATATCAAGTGATACAGTAACTAAGCTCAAATTCTTGACATGCACTCACACTTCTTTTTCTTCATCAGCAAGTAGTCTACTGCTGCACTCACACAAACACCTAAATCCCTATTGTTAGTTGCAAATGATCTATCATGCAAGTTTGTACACGAGTGCATATTCTTACAACAAGTAGAATATGGTTTCAGCCAGTAGCGGCAAAATGTCGACAGCACCCTAAACTAAAAACCCTCATCGGTGCAACTCTGGCAGTTATATGTTATTAATTATAACTACTTATTGTGCAAAGAAACTATATTATAATTTTTAATGTAGTTTAGTTTCAAAATAATTGACATGTGTATTGACTTGACAGAAGGGTGTGAATGAAACATGTGATGCGAGAGTTAGGCAAAATGTAGGAGGAATCAAGTACCCAATTTTTTTATTTCATTCTTATAGCTTGAGTGCGTGTCCGCCCATAGGCACGTGCCTAGTTTGCCTAAGGATAATGTGCCACTGGTTTCATCATCACTCAAAATGTATATAATATATAATAAAAAAGAAAAGATATTTTGACTATGTTACATATTCTTAGAATTTGGTGTGTTCATATGTTATAGTGACAGTGCTGTTTGAAACAATGTGACCATCACTTTGATTTAAAGGGACAGTGAAATTACAGGTATAGAGGTATTATCTTAGTTCCCTTTGGTACAGGTATATGTCATACAATTATAGCCACTACAATCAGGACGACTGATAGATTAAAGTTGTAATATATATATATATATATATATATATAGAGAGAGGTGTAAGACAGGGTGACGTCATATCCCCGAAACTCTTCACCGCTGCATTGGAAGATGTTTTCAAGCTTCTGGACTGGAAAGGATACGGTATCAACATCAATGGCGAGTACATCACTCACCTTCGATTTGCCGACGATATAGTCCTTATGGCAGAATCGCTGGAGGACCTAAGCACTATGCTCAATGACCTCAATAGTGTTTCCCAACGGATAGGTCTTAAGATGAACATGGACAAAACAAAGATCATGTTTAATGTCCATGTCACACCTATGCCGGTAGTTGTTGGGAACACTAAGCTCGAAGTTGTTGACGAGTATGTTTACCTGGGACAAATAGTCCGACTAGGTAAGTCCAACTTCGACCGAGAGGTCAATCGACGGATTCAACTCGGTTGGGCAGCGTTCGGGAAATTACGGCACATCTTCTCGTCAGGTATACCTCAAAACTTGAAAACGAGACTGTACACCCAGTGCGTGTTGCCAGTGATGACATACGGAACTGAGACGTGGTCCTTCACTGCTGGCCGGATGAGGAAGCTCAAGGTCGCTCAGCGAGCTATGGAGAGGGCTATGCTCGGAGTTTCTCTGCGTGATAAACTCAGAAATGAGGATATCCGCAGTAGAACCAGAGTGACCGACATAGCCCAACGGATTAGTAAGCTGAAGTGGCAATGGGCCGGCCATATAGCTCGAAGAACCGACAACCGATGGGGAAGAAAGGTTCTCGAGTGGCAGCCTCGTACCGGCAGGCGAAGTGTAGGGCGTCCCCCCACTAGATGGAGTGACGACCTGGTAAGATTTGCAGGAAGTCGATGGATGCAGGTGGCTCGGGACCGTGCTTTGTGGCATTCTTTGGGGGAGGCCTATGTTCAGCAGTGGACTTGTGAAGGGCTGTAATGATGATAATGATGATGATGATATATATATATATATATATATATAGACCTGCTCTTATTTCTGAGAGGGTAACAATAATTCTGTCATCCAGCACTTGTTGGCAAACACAAAAAATGTGAAATGTAGGTTTCCTCTAGATGTTTTCCTTCACAGCAGAGTATGTGGAAAATCAGTACTTAAAATTGCAGTGAACAATTTCATTGGTTGCCTGCATACAGAAAAGTGATTAGCCCCTCATAAGCTGTGTTAAAAAGTAGTCACCACTATAAACATTGGTGCAATGTAGGTATAGATACCTTCATTGTACCTGTGCAAAATATACACAAGGTAAAAAGAGGTCTATTAAACTTGATATATTTTTAAGTTTTATAATTTTGGCTCGACTTTAGATTAACCAGTTAACACTTTCAAATGAGTAATGTTTGAAAGATCTACTTTTTTAACTTATATGTATAAAGTCTCAGTGCTGGGAAATTCATTATTTCCAAGAAAATTAAGGAAAAGATACCATTTTCTACAATAATCTTGCTTGTTTGAAAATAGCAAACACATTTAACATGTTTCATTTTATTTAAGGAAGTTGTGTTGAGGTTTTATAAAATTTCAAATTATTGCATTAGTTATAAATATTTATGTTACTATTAAAACTTTTTCCTGGTCAAAACTAATTTTATCTGATAAAAATAGACAAAAGTCTAAACTTCTTTAGTCAAAAGTAAATTACGACTAAAAATTACTAAAAAGATATTTTGAGTGAAAAATGTCAGTTAAAGTAATTATGCCCAAGACTAGTAGTTAAAATCATTTTTGACCAGGATAAAAATAAGTATTTGATAATATACAAAATGTTAATTGACCCAATTGATTTAAGAACGAAGTATTTTTTTTCTTGATGAAATATGGTTTTTTGTAAGCTAGCAAACTAGATCAGACACATACTTGATCCTGCTGGGAAGAGTAATATAAGTGACAGTAGGGTTAAGATGCTGGTGTAGGTGTGGTCAAAACTAGTTTTCACATGAATTTTAATAAAAAAAATTCATTTCTAGGGAGGGTAATGGCTGGGGGTGCCTCTTGACTTTCCCTTTGTGCTTCAAGAAAATATTCACCAAAATACTTTAAATTGGCACAAAATTAAGAAATTTTCAAAAATGTACATAAAAATTCGAAAAGGGGGTGTGACAGGCCTGTCCCCCTACATTTCTATAGTAAAGGGGTTTAAATTTAAGCTTTTTCCATAATTATTCAAAGTAGGTATGATAGTGCTCATTGAAGTTCATTATATTATATGATATAATAACTTCATAAGAAAAAGTATTCAGTATAAAATCAGGCTTGCTGAAAACAGTAAAATTTCTTTGAAAGTTTGAAGCATTTGAAACTAAATGATGTAAAAACAATTATACTTCAGTTAAAGCCATTGTCATAATCAGTGAAGCAAAGCAAATGACTTGTAATCTTGTGATTCATAATTATCTAAATTCCATAGACCATAATTACAAATTCACAATCAAGTATCATAAGATCTTAACCATAGACAAATGTAGGTGAAGATATAAGACAAACAGCAGCTGACTGATCACATGATAAAGTTATCATTCATGTGATATTTTGCTTATTATCGCAAATATGACATTTGTCAGTATTTAAAAAACGTAAAGTAATAATATTGCAAAAATGTAGGTCAGATCCATGAACTTTGTTATGGTCAGCTTACACCAAATCACATGAATCTGCTGGTTAAAGCCGCAATGCTGTACGTTTTAACATTAACTCTAATAACAATAGGTAGTTTGTTGTTTCATGGAAGTTTTTTTTACTAAGATTTAATGTTAAAGTGACTATTTTCGTTAGAAATTAGAGAATGGAAAACTATTTTGTATTATCATTACTTTCATTGTGTACGAGCTTAATCTGTAAAGGGTAAAAGCATTCAATGGTTAGAATTCGGAAAAAGTGAATTTATAACCTTTCATGGCAGATAATGATGGGATAGTAGAATAAGATGAAATTCCACTTCTACAAGTTATTCACTTGTGTTACATCAGTGCTACCAACATAGTAGATATTAGTCACATGATAAAAATTATTCATAATTTAATGAAAAAGTTCCGTAAATTGAACTATCGTAAAATATAAATTTAGGTATCATTATTAGAACTGAAAGAATGAAACAAGGTGAGACTATGAGACTAGGAACTATAATTAGGACTCTTAAAATAACCCGATTCGGGTTATAAATTATTGGTTACATGCTTGCTCAATAAAGAGAAAATAGTACGAAATGACCAGTTCAGTCTTGCAAATTTTAGATCGATAGCGTCAGACAGCCATTACAATTAGGACTTTTTATGCTTACCGCTAAAGATGATAGCGGATGCCGCCCCCATAACTCCAAAGAAGGGTCCATAGATAGGACTTTCGACGGTTGGGCCAGACGCAGACATCTTGATTGTGTAGTGTGGGAGTATTTACAGGTCCCAAAAACTCTGATGACTATCTGCACACACTCACTCCACGCAACTATTTTAGCACAGACAAATATGGCCCAAGCTTTGCAGACTCGCAGAATGGGTCATATGACGATTGATGTTCAAGGCAGTGCTCGATATGCCCAAAGATCTGATTGGTTTTGTTACGTTACTTCCGAAATGCGCATCCAATCACGAGCTAGAGATTCTGAAATAACGTGACGTAAAACATTGATGTGGATCGCTGGCCAGCAAATTTCTTCTGCGCATGTACTTTTAGTCATTCCAATACTTTTAATAGGTACAAATTTTATATTTCCTAAGAAAAATATGTAAGCAATTAATTTAAAATATATTTTTCAATAAATTATGATGATTAATATTCTTGCAATACGTGAAAATGTAAACTCGTGTAAAAATTATTTAAAAGTTTTTTCAAATTAAACAATGTTGCCATGTCTCGTTTCTTTTTTTGTTCTATCAATATAAAAACTTTGTATAAATATTGATGTTACAATAACGTATTTTGTAATATTAATTTTATATATTATGGTAAAAACTCTGCTAATATCAAAATAAAGGGGTAAACTAGTTTTTTTTTACAGGAGAGGGGGCAAACGAGTATAGGGCTAACCTGATGGTAGGTGACTACCGCCGACCATGAACAACTGCCACACCAAGGGAATTGCAAGTGCGTGGCCGGCCTTTTAAAAAGTAGGAAGCTCTTTTCTTGAAGGTTCCTAAGTCGTCAGGGAATTGCAGATGCGTTGCCGTTAGTTAGTTAGTTAGTTGGTGTTATTCAGTTACAATAATGTATTTAAATTTGTAAGACGGGAGATGTTAATAGGAAAAATAACAAAAAGAGAATATTATAATAGTTAATTACAAAAAAAGAATAAGTGTTCCAGAGTTCTCTCCTCCAGACCAAACTCACATAAGGAGCTACCCCTAATTCTCAATAGACTGGATAACATGACTTAGACGACGTATTCGACAAACACATGATGTAACCCATTTATTGTTTTCACGTATTTAAAACAAAAAAAACCAAGGTTTGTCAGAGTTATTTCCCATATACTTTTTTATTCTAAGTCTATGCTTTTTAGAATTCACCATTAATGTGACTGTCGCTATATTTTGCCTCTCAGTGTAGCCAATTCAGCAGTTTCCTATATATTTAGGGATAAGAAATCACCGAGACTTTCAGAATATTACCAGTTGCATTTTTCATGCAACTTTTTTCGACTTACGACGATGTTATTCAAAATGCATAAATATTGCACGATTTAGCTAAGTTCTGTTCATAGCAATCAAGAAAAAATCTTTATTTAATTACCGATTCTCAAAAATAAGAAAACAGATTATAATATGGGAGCAGCACCTTAGAAAGAAGTGAAGTACTTTAATTACTAAGCTACGTGGTTGACGTGGGGCGGATTTCATAATAAGTAAAACCAATACAATAAGGCTCTTTACTCTGCCAAGGTTATATAAAGTGATACATGTCTCAAATCGTGCAAAGTTCGAAGGAGTTTTTATTAGTATGTTGTTAATAAAATATGTTTATTTCGTATAATAATAATATAATGGTGTTTGAGCGTGGACAGAAAAACTCTGTCTACGTGTTTAAGTGAAATAGTTGAACAATAAAAAAAATGTATGAGTTTTATTATGGCAGCACTACCACGCCTTGGGTGATCTACAATTACCAAAGAATAAAGCCTGGCGTCGACTACAGCAGAAATGCTTCGAATCGAAGCGAGTTGCATTTATTCCTAGCGCGTCCATCTCTGACGAATCGAATCGAACTGTTCATTCATTGCAAATTCTTTATTAAAATAGGTCGTTTTTGCGTCATGGACAGCTCGGGTAAAGATTTGTTTTTATTTCATCGTGATAATGTGGATCTTCATGATTAAACAATTCTGGATATTGTTGGACCAGTGATATCAATAGTTCTTCATTCATTTTTAGGGTTCCGTGCCTCAAAAGAGAAAATACGGAACCCTTATAGGATCACTTTGTTGTCCGTCTGTCTGTCTGTCTGTCTGTCAAGACCATTCTTCTCAGGAACGCGTGGAGGTATTAAGCTGAAATTCATATCAAATACTCATGTCCACTGTCCCTTGGAGCTGTAAAAATATCAAATTTCTAAGCCAACGCAATCAAAAGATACAGCCGTTTATGCCGCAAATTTTCGACATTCGAATCAAAACCTACAGGGTACTTCCCGTGAACTCAGAATCTTGAAACTTGGTACGAAGCAACGTTTTATAGCAGAGATGAAGCAAAAATTGCGAAAAGCATAAATTTTTAGTTACATCATATAATAAAAATATTTTTAATAATTTTAAACTTATGTACCTACAGATTTGTTCGGAACCCTCTGTGCGCGAGTCCGACTCGCACTTGGCCGGTTTTTTATTTAAACAAAATATTTTTACGAAAACGAAATAGAAATTAATTAAAATACGTTGGCGCGCATCCACTTCTCCGCGTCGACTGAGGCTGAGGCGTGCCGAGTGGAATCGAATCGCATCGGCGAAGAAATTCGGCTGTCAAGCAATTCGCGCGTTCGATTTAATTCGGCGCGCCGCGGCTCGTCTCTAATGGACGCAGTTTCATAGTAAATATATAGGAGGCGACTTTCTGTGTTTCGATTCGACTCGGCTTGGCGAGCCTAGTGGACGCTTAGCCTTATTTTATATTTAGGTCTATGGTGCGTCGTGATCTTCAAGCATAGTTTTCTATGCTCGAAGCCCGTGACGCCAACATAAAAGATAGTGTGTGGACAAAAGGACGCCATTTAGTTAAGCGGTGTTGTTCGGCGTCTTTTCATCAGTGTGTTCAAGGTAACTTAGAAGCTCAATTTTGTGTGAGCTGCATATTGTCAGAGTCATAGAATCTAACGTGTACAATGTGATTTCATGACACATGTGAAGAATTGAGAAAACAAATTTTTTTTTTACAGAAGTCGGAGCAAACGAGCAAATGGAATATTGATTATGAATTATTATGAAATACTGTCCCACTCTGCTGAGCACGGCAGGCTTTTTAGAGGCCAATTTAGCCTTCTCTTCCAAGTGACCACGAAAATGCACATGATTCGATATGTAGATGCCGAGGATTCCGATACTGGCTGAGGCAACAAGGGTAGTGTCCTGAAATTGAGGAGATACGACAAAATAGTTCTATTTAGCGGTAAACGAGTATATATGTATCTTGTGGGGATTGGACTGAACTAGATTTAGTCGCCCCCAATCCGAGACTTTATTCAACAAAGTCTCGACTTCAGACACAAGTTTGTTCCGGTACTGTTTCCGAGAAATATTGGCACGACCGGTATATACAGCATCATCAGTGCTGTCGTCCGCATAACAATGAATGTTACCGGTACACATAATTGATATGTAGAAGAAACGGTGTTGAAGAAATAGCACGCAGTCTTGTGAAACACCAGCGTTAAAAGGCTTGTAATCGGAGCAGGTGAGCCCCGTGTATTGGTGGGTAAGAATACCTACTACCCCATATCTTCCCGTGGGTAGTCGAGGCACCAGAGGGAAATTGAGGCAGAAGATAGGCAGTAGCATCTTTCTGATAACAGCAAAAAAACCCACCCGCCAAGCGTGGCAACTATGGCAATATACCCCTAATGAATAAAGTTACGAAGAGACGGCCTCCAGTCCTCGGTGGCCCCGCTTTTTCCTGGCTACGGTGGTGACCATGGTAACGGCGGGGCAGGGGGTGCTAAGAATCTCCGGTGGGGGCTTGGTTGCCACCTTAGATGACTCGACCTGACAACATATAACGCACGCATTCTGAGTACCGACGAAAAGATCCTGGAGCTGGAAGAAGACATAGACAAGTTGTGTTGGAATATTATAGGATTATACGAGGTTCGAAAAGAGGGGGAGGACATAGTAATCATCAAATCCGGCAACTTGTTTTATCACCGGGAGGGCGACCATCTGTTCCAAGGAGGTGTCAGATTTATCGCCCACATGTCTCTTGTTAACGTTATAAGATTGGGAGTTTTGTCAACGAGGGTTTCGTACTTCATACTCAGAATCACCAAATGGTATTCGCTGAAGGTCATATAGGCGTAACACAAACCTCGGAACATCCCGATAAGGAGGTGGAGAAAATTTACGAGGATATATCTAGAGCCATGCATTCCTCCAAAACCCACAATGCTGTGCTAATGGTAGACTTCAACGTAAAACTAGGCACAAGAGAGAATGGTTATCTGAAAGTAGGGAAATTTGGAATAGGGCAACGGAACCCAAAGAGTCAGCAGCTGGCCGACTTCATGGAGAAAGAGGGCCTCTTTATGATGAACTCTTTCTTCCAGAAGCGGCCCCACAGGAAATGGACTGTATAATGTCCATGTTACACCTATGCCGGTGGTTGTTGGGAGCACTAAGTTTGAAGTTATTGACGAGTATGTTTACCTGGGACAAATAGTCCGACTAGGTAAGTCCAACTTTGACCGAGAGGTCAATCGACGGATTCAACTCGGATGGGCAGCTTTCGGGAAATTACGGCACGTCTTCTCGTCAGGTATACCTCGAAACTTGAAAACGAGACTGTACAACCAGTGCGTGTTGCCAGTGATGACCTATAGAACTGAGATGTTGTCCTTCACTGCCGGCCGTAAGAGGAAGCTCAAGGTCGCTCAGCGAGCTATGGAGAGGGCTATGCTCGGGGTCTCTGTGTGATAAACTTAGAAATGAGGATATCCGCAGTAGAACCAAAGTGAACGGCATAGTCCAACGGATTAGTCAGCCAAGTGGCAATGGGCCGCCCATATAGCTCGAAAAACCGACAACCGATGGCGAAAAGACGTTCTCGAGTGGCAGCCTCATACCGGTAGGCGAAGTGTAGGGCATCCCCCACGAGATGGAGTGTCGACCTGGCAGGACATGCAGTAAGTCGATGGATGCAGGTGGCTCAGGACCGTGTTTTGTGGCATTCCT